CGGGGGCGGGGTGAGGGGCGAAGGGCGCCCGCTGCTGCCCCCGCGGCCCCTGCTCTGTCGGTGGCCGGAGACCTAGGGGCCCCACGGACCGGCCGCTCCTCCTCCGCCCGCGCAGGGGCCGCGGCGCGGTTCTGTGGGCCTCCACTGTGGTCAGCCTCGGCCTTGACCCGGCCCCCCGTTCCTGCCTTTGCCCCGGGAGAGGAAGAAGAGTGCCACGGAGGTGCGCATCTGTGCCCCCACCCCACCGCGCAGCGGCTGAGGCGCGCAGCCCAGGCCGGAGGCCTCGCTGGCCGGGCAGGAGCGGCCGAAGGGAGTGATCACAGTGCAGGACGGAGGTGCCGCGGGGTGCCGAGGCGGGCTGGCGTGCGCACGGCAGGTGCGCGGTGTTTACGATGGGGCGAGAGCAGGGTGCGCTGACCCGCTGGAGTGTCGGTCGTCGGGGCCCGGCCAGTCCTTCCCCTTCTTTCAGACCTCCATTCTTACACCGTGAGGAGAGCAACCTCGCGCACCTGGTAGGTGCCAGATACTGTGCTGGACTCTGCCTGCATTTCAGGACTTGATTCTCACTGCAGCCCGGTCAGCCCCCACCCCTCTGTCCACGTTCCGCACAGGCAGAGACGGCAGCTTGGACTCCCTGCCCGATTTCAGCAAGGACCCCCGCAGTCAGGAGAGGAGCCCCGGCTGGCCTGACCCCCAGAATTGTGCTTGACTCAACGGTCCACCCACCAAGGGGGGACTTCACACGCTCTGGGTCCCTGAGACCTCTAGTCTCCCTGTAGTAGCACCTCCACAGCCCGAGAACAATCCAGAACAATCTTCAAAAGCAGTGGCGGGAGGGGCTCTAGGCCCCACACCCACTTTGCCCGGGTGAATGTGAGAGCTAATGGCGCTAAAGTGCCCGGGGCTTTGGAGACGTGGCAGGCAGCCACAATTAATGGAAAGGTTTTGATGACCGTGCTTTATCACCCTGGGGACATTAATCTGCTCCCTGTCCGCACACAGCCTCCTGCCCAGCGCACTCCTTGTCTGATCGTGGGGTCTCAGTGCTGTCGTGCCCACCACGTTCTCCTCCTGAGAAAACCTCTGGGACACCAGGCAGCTCGAGAGGCCCCACCTCTGCCTTGTGCCACTCTCTCCCTCAAGTCCCACTCAGAGAAGCAGGATTGAGGAGAGAGGCATGGACCAGGGTCTCGGGACCCCTGACACGGAGGGGCCGCCCTCTGTGCAAGCATACCCCCGCTGCCCCCGCCATACGAGATTCCCCCCCTGGGCGCACTTCTTTGTCTTAGGGTTTCCCAAAGGCCCCGAGGAGCTACCTCTTCAGAAGGGGAACACCGACTACAGCTACCCCACAGAAGGCCTTCGAGCTCTTCCTCCCCACCCCCTGGGTTTTAGATTAAGAAACTGAGGTGTAAAGGTGGAAGCACTGGTAGCAAATTCACAGCGAATCAAAAGCAGCCACGGAGCAGCCTTCCTCTCCTCATGCCCACCCCGGACTCCTAGCCCTGCCCCCCAAGTTTCTGGCTGTCACCTGGGGAGAGGTGAGATGAGAGGGGGCGCGGGGGTTCGCAGTGAGCAGCGGAATCTTACTGCCCCTGCCCTCTGCACCCCCAGGCCTGCCCCACTGGGCAAGCTGAACCTCCCCAGCCCCATCTGCGTCCTGGGCCACCTACCTTCTCCCGGGCACGAGCTTCAGCGGGGACCTGACCCGTCTGGGACAGGAGCTGAGCCAGAGCACCTTCCCTCCCTTTTCCTCTTTCTCTCTCTTTCTCTTTCTTTCTCGGCAGCTGCTGCCTGCCCAGCCCTGCCTTCCCGCCCCACCAGCTGCAGCTTGGCCCCCAGGGACCCCCGCCCCTCCCCCAGACAACCAAGGGGCCTGCAGGAACAACTGGAGCCTCCGCAGTGCTTTATCACGGGAGTCGGCAGGAAGGAGAGGGGTCAGCTAGAGGTCACCGAATCCACTCTTGCCCCAGCTGAGGAGAAAGCGGGGAGAGGGTCCTGATGGTTCTGGCCCCTAGTCCGGTGCTGGAGAAAGGGGAGCCTCAGCGCCACCTGCCGGTTCTTCTAGGTAAAACCCCTGGCAGATGTAGGGCACTGGGAGGGGGGAGATGGCAGGGCCTGAGAATTGGAGAGGGAAGAGGGAAGAGGAAAGGCGGCTGGAGGAGGGCGCACCGAGCCGTGGGAGGATTTGGGGAGTTGTGGCTGTGCGGTGCAGCCTTCCCACGCCTCAAAATGCACGGAGTGCTCGGGCACCAGCTCCGTTCAGAGAGAAGCCCGGATGCTTGGAGTCTGGCAGCCAGCGGGAGCTCTGCTGGGGACAGGAAGAGCTGGGAGGATTTAGAGGCACGCGGGGCGAGCCTGGAAGGGGGCCATCGGCACGGGTTACTTTATGTGCACCATCTGTACCCCGTCTCTTAGCACAGACCCTGACATACAGTAGGTGCTCAGTAAATGTCGACTGTACAGAATAAATTCAGTCTTCCAACATGGGTTTACTGAGCAAGCTATTAGGTAACAGGCTCTGGGCAACATTTTGTAAATGCAGCAGTGAAAGTGAACGCGTGAACAGGGAGCTGCTTGCGGCGAAAGGGTGAGGCTGTGTTGTGTCCCGCTGAGCTGCGCTCACTGATCTCCAGTAGAAGGAAGTCACAGAACCTGCTATGGGGCGGGCTGTCACACGCTGGTTCCTTGTAGTCACAGGCTTCTGGACCCTCTTAGGAGTCAAGAGAGGTCTGGAGTCTCAGCACCTACCTCAGACAGCAGGCGCCCGAGCTAGACAGCCACTTAGAATAGGAAGGCCTGGTGATGCATGCTTGTAATCCCAGCACTTGGGAGGTTGAGGCAGGAGGATCACCTCGAGTTTAAGGCCAGCCTGCCCTACAAAGAAAGACCCTGGTTCAAAAAATGAAAAGCAACAAACCAAAATAAAACAGAATAGGAAGGCTTTTTGCTCAAAGCGTGGAATGGCCAGGGGTGGCTCATGTCTATGGTGCCCCTTGGACAGATACACACTCCTCACTTCTAAGGCCCTCTCAGGGCAGGGGTCCCGAGCCAGGACTCACCAGAGGACAACCTTTCTGGGAGGGACCCAGGGGGCTTGTTCTGAGGCAGTTGCAGAGCCCGAAACCAGGACCACAGCAATAGGCTGCACACTGATTCATAAGGAAAAACTCTGTGCATCCTCACTACTCTGCAAAATTAGGATTATTTTG